TAAATCCTTAACACTTGAAATCAAATGCAGGGCCGTCCCCATACTCCGTCCGGTATGGGCGCCAAACCATAGACATCATTACCCCGTCCGGTATGAGGGTGAAACGGGCCGTCCCCATACCCCGTCCGGTATGGGCGCCAAAACACATAAGATCTCCATACCCCGTCCGGTATGGGAGACCACAATCCCGGTAGGGTTCCCTACGGACCCGGTCCGTCCACCATCTCCCAGGATATCTAGTCAGGCTGACCCCATTATACCATTATCCATTTACATAATTGTTCATTCTCTTTTTCCTCAGTCAGCATCATTAATCCACATACAAGCAAGCAAAACGATAATTTATGCTAAGCAGACAACATACAGCATCAATATCCCGGTCATTTAATCCATAATCAATAAAACAGTAAAACATGCATACGAAACTATAAAATGAAAACATCGAACCTCATGCTACGTTTAAAACTGTAAAACAGGCCAAATAACAATTAACCGACAAACACACTAGACTCGGGCTCCATTAGCGACCCTAAGCAATTTCACACATTCGTTGATTCATGAAATATCGTTTTATCATTTATTGAACTTTAAAACCGTGATAGGAAATAAGGTGAGGGGTCCTTACTCGTTTCGGGGTCCGAACACAGCTTCACAGTGCGCTTGCAGGTTGTCCCTAATTTTCTCTGAATTTTCCTCGGGGAACTGAAACGCACTACTGGTACCTGCACGTGTTCCAAAAAAATTCCAAATTAGGCCCAGGGCCCCTTTCGGCCCTAATCGCAACTCCGGCACGGCGCCGCCGCTGGCGACGGCGATTCGCCTCGGGTTGGCTGTTTTCAGCCGTTTCCGGCCGAATTCGGCCACACTCGCATCGGTCCCTGCGAGAAAACAACCCTAGGGCCCTCGGGGGGCCAAAAAATCACAGAAAAACGGAGCTTACCGGCGGCGTGCTCTCGGGTGCGGCGGCTCTCCGGCGAGGTTCGTGTTTTGGTGATTCGGCTCCGGTCAACCTGTAGAGAAAAGAGTGGTGATCACGGTGATATAAAAATTGCATCAAACGGAGGCCGGGAAGGGCCTCATCGGAGGCAAAAACCGAGAAGGGCGCGGCGGCGCCGCTGGGCTTCGGCCGTGCATTCCGGCTGTTTGGTCAGGATTTTGGCTCCGATTTGGCCACAGGAGGAATCAGCGTGGAAAAACGAGTCGGGGGTACGAAATTTACCTCGATCGGCGGTCGGAAGTTCCTCTGGTGCGGCGGCGGGTGGCGGCGGCCGGCTTCTGGTTCGTCTTCTCCGGCGAGTGGCAGGCGACTAGGGTTTGTGGTCTGGTGTGGGGGTTCTATTTATAACCCCTTGCCTTTTGATCTCAGCCGTCCATTTTGTTTTAATCTGTGCCGTCCGTTTTTTATTAAATCTGGGCCGTCCGTGCGTTTAAATCTGGGTCGTCCGATCGCACGTTTGATCTGGGCAATCCGATCGCACCCACGCGGATCGCCAACGTGTCCCTTTTTGGAACGACGTAGTTTTGCCACGTGG